CGAGCGATAAGTCCGGTATCTTGTATCTGTTCGATCGACCTGCTGAACCAGTGTACGTTCCTAAAGGTTCCAATAAGGTAGCCTTCGATATTCCAGCCGATTACTTGGTAAGTACCATTTTCCATTATTTGTGAATCTTATCAGCGCGATAAATAGAAATATTTTCCCTCGTGATACATGTTCAAAAATGCATAGAATGCAGAAAAAAATGTATAAAATTCTCTAAAGTAGAGTATTCGTTGTAATATTTGTTAATTTTAATAGGATAGAAAAGCTCGAGCGATCTTATTCCCATTTTTCGTACCGAAACAACTAGCCTCGTTTTGGATAACGATTTCGATTATTTCTCGTTGGTGAATACGTCTGGAAAAATACTGAATAATTTGTGGAAATTTAATTTTTCACGACGATTCTCGATGATCTGTCTAGCCGGAGAGGTATCGTTCCGTAGCTACTCAGGTATTCAATCGTTTCGGCGAAGATACCGGCTCGAAACTCCCAGTGAAACAGATCGCCCTCCCGGATCTTAGCATCCCTCTGCAGCTCGGACGTCGTCAGCCATTTTCACTGTTCATCCCAGCGCATCGAAAAATTGCTGCTCGATTAATCGACATTTTCATAGGTACGTGCATTCTCCTACTTCCTCGTCTGTCTTGAATTTGATACAATTACTTTGTCAAAGCAACTTACAAACATCACGATAACGAACGAATACTACAATGTCGCTGAACAAAACACTTATTGACAAATTACCATAAGAACACAGTTTTCTGACAGTCAGAGGTTTGTTTCTCCACGAGCATTCGAAAAGTTTTAAAAATTTTTTAATTATTAGTTTCCATTGTCAAGGCCAGTTTCTAGCGTTACGCTTGACGTTACAGGCATGCGGACGTACGAAGACTTCCTGTCCATCGCGGTCTATTGTCGAGACCGTGTGAACCCGAACATGTTCATTTACGCATTATCCGTGGCGATACTTCATCGTCCCGACACGAAAGATCTTCCAATACCACCACTGACCGAGGTGTTCCCGGACAAATACGTGGACAGCGGGATATTCTCTAGAGCTCGAGAGGAAGCCAACGTCGTCCCTGAAGGTTCCAGGGTATGTAAAATGACTTGTAACTTGCAACTTCGTGAAATGACCTCGCGAAAGAAAATTTTAATTCTTTCTAGATTACTAGAATATTATTAGAAAGCTTCGCGTTTTATTCCTCACTGCGTGTTTTATCTCTCACGTTTAAATAAAATCAGAGAGCATCGTAGATTTCTTAGTACGTAGTAAGTAGAATTTATTTGTAATTCGTGTTTGTAATTATTTCGTAACTTGATATAGATATTTTTGTCTTTTTTCTTCCGATCGATCGATCGATTATTCTTCTAAATTGTAGATTCCAATCGAAATTCCAAGAGATTACACCGCATCGGATCTCGATGAGGAGCATCGTGTCGCTTATTGGAGAGAGGATGTTGGAATCAATCTTCATCACTGGCACTGGCACTTGGTATATCCTTTTGAAGGTGATGTGCGTATCGTTAACAAGGACCGACGTGGAGAACTGTTTTACTATATGCATGAACAAATTATGGCGAGGTAAATTTGCATTTTCTTTTTTTTCCTTTTATGGAAGCTTAATGAACACATGTGTGTAACCACACACAATATTGAAATGTGAAATGTTTCCTACAAATCAATTCAAATACTTCTGTGCAAGATTTTGTAGCTTCGTTGTTATTAAATACAATATATATAATAAATCAACGTGTCTAATTTTTTTTCCTCTCTTTTTATCATTTTCAAGTTCTGTCATCAGATCCTCACTCAGTCTAAACCTCAGATTTAAATTGCTTTTAGATACAACTGCGAACGTCTGTGCAATCGTCTGGGACGTGTGAAGCGATTCATTAATTGGCGCGAACCGATACCGGAAGCTTATTTCCCGAAACTGGACTCCCTGGTTGCTAGTCGAACGTGGCCAGCTCGTACAAGCGGCTCTGTCCTCCACGACATCAGTCGACAGGTCGACGAGCTGGACTTCGACATTCAAGATCTGGAAAGATGGCGAGATCGAATTTACGAAGCGATCCACACGGGGGCCGTGACGAACGCGAGAGGCGAAAGAATTCCGTTGACCGAGCGAGACGGTATCGACGTGCTTGGAAACATAATGGAGGCTAGCATCCTGTCTCCCAATCAGAATGTCTACGGCGATCTACATAATATGGGTCACGTTGCTATTTCTTACATCCACGATCCAGATCATCGGTATTTGGTAAGAATCGAAAGTAACGTTTCCTTTTCTTTCCTTTTTTCGTCGATTACTGCACCGTGTCAGTCGTTCCATTTTAGGCTGAATTGTACAATTTTTCTTTCTTTGGAAAAGATTCGTTTTAAAAAATTCGGGCGGTAAGATTTTAATGTTCCGTTGTGAAATTTTAAAACGTACATTTATAAATATTACTATAAATATTATTATATGATATATTTATATATTTATAAATAAATATAAATATTTGTATATTTTATAAATTTTTATACTTTATTATAAAGGTCATAGTTTCGATACGAAATTGAATTGTGAAATTAACAATCCCCGCGTTCTTTTTTTTTTTCTTATTTTTTAGGAGAGTTTCGGCGTTATGGGCGATTCGGCGACTGCCATGAGGGATCCGATTTTTTACAGGTGGCACGCGTTCGTCGACGATATTTTCCAGGAACATAAAAACACGCTGCCTCAGTATACCGTGCAACAGGTACAAAGTAGGATATTTCTTTCGTCGTTGAAAATAATGTATCTGGTACTAATGCGTCATTTCTCGTTTTCGTTTTAGTTGGACTTCCCAGGTGTCGAGATAGCGGATATCAAATTGGCGACTAATCAACAACAGAATGTCCTAAACACGTTTTGGAGCAAGAGCGACGTAGATTTGTCGCGTGGGCTCGACTTCACTCCGCGTGGCGCGGTGCTCGCCAGATTCACTCACTTGAATCACGCCGATTTCACGTACACGATCCTCGTTAATAATCGCAATAACACGCCGCAAAGAGGCACCGTTCGTATTTTTATCGGGCCGAGAGAGGACGAGCGTGGCCTACCGTTCCCCTTCAGACAACAGAAGAATTTAATGATCGAAATGGACAAATTCACCGTTACGCGTACGTTATTATTCCATCTGTATCTCTAAAACGTACATTTCATCTCGAACAAGGTACCCATCACCTTGTGAGTGAATGAAATAAAATACACACTCTTAATTAATATGTTTAATATATATATAAATTGAATAATGTATATAATAATTAATTATCACTTATGAATTCACTTTCTCACAGATCAACATCACTTTTAACTCAGACTCGCAATGAATACTCCTCTGCTCGCTTCTGAACAAAAACGCATCAGGCAACACACTCGCAATTGTCTCACAACGCTTATGCCTTCGCTCGACTCTCATGCATTCCCACACACGAAACATAAAACCAAATTCACGCATACTTTCCGAAAGTTGTTCGAAGAATTTCACTCGTAATTTTCATAATTTCCGTTCGACTCGCAGTTCGACCGGGGCAGAATAAAGTCGAACGGAGGTCAACGGAGTCTTCAGTGACAATACCGTTTGAAAGAACGTTCCGTAACTTAGACGAGAACAGACCGATAGTCGACGACAATTTGCAGCAGTTCAATTTCTGTGGATGCGGATGGCCGCAGCACATGCTCGTACCGAAAGGAAGCAAGGAAGGCTTCCCGATGGATCTTTTCGTCATGGTGTCCGATTATCGTGGCGACGCTGTGAGTACTTGTTCCAATTCGTACCGTAAATGTACAAAGCAGTGATATTTCTTCCAATTTTCGACAAAACAAATTCAAGCTCTTCCATTTAGCTTTAACTCGTAAATAATTTAAATCGTTATAAGTGATAATATATTATACAATTTAAATGATATAAATAATAATATATATAATACAAATACAGCTACAATACAAATATTGTATAACACATATATTATACAATTTCAATGACAAAAAACAATAATATATATAATAATATAAATTCGCGTAAAAACCCACGGTCTAATTATCGTTTAGTAAATTACGGTAGAGACGTAATCGTTTTATTCGAGACAGAATAGCAACTCACTAGCTTTCTCAAGTTGATCAATCATAAATTCCTACGTTCGAGGCTCAGCAATAACTGATTCGTAAAAACAATCGCATCGTGATCGAATGAGATTAATCAAAATGAATTAAACGTTTGCGTTGTAATAATGTCACAGGTCGAACAAGCGGAGCCAACTGGTTGCAAGGATGCTGCGAGTTACTGCGGACTGAGAGACAGGAGGTATCCGGATGCACGTGCCATGGGATATCCATTCGATCGTCAACCTCGCGCGGGTGTTGAAAATTTAGCCCAATTCCTCACCGGAAACATGGCGATAACTGAAATTACCGTTCGGTTTTCCGACACGGTTGTACCGAAATCCAGATCTGGTGCCATCGGCAACTCGTTAACTTTTACGTGAACCGTTCCGGAAGACTCACCGATCGACTCCATAAATTTAGAAGAAAATTACAGAGACACGATGGTTAAATTTATTAATTATTCCATCATGTTGTTTTACTTTCGCAGATTTTTTTTAAATTTTACCATTATAAATTTTTCTCGTTCGTCGAGAATCTGCAATGCACATGTAGAATCCGAGGTTAAGCGATATTAAAAGATTTTAATCTAGAGTTCTTTTTTATTTTCAAACAAAAAATCTCGATTAAATTGAGGAATTTAAAAAAAATCAATTTTTTTTCTCTATTTTAAATGGAGTTGATCAATTTTACTTCCAAGAGGCTCGTGTAATCGTATGTACTGACATGGACTGAACGGCATTCATTATCATTGAATATTTAATTTCCTTTCCGTTCGGAATTGGGAAATTAATAAAACGTATGAAAAAGAAAAAGACGATTAACAGTGAAATGTAATCATGTAAGCTGAAATTATTATTCAGTAATTAATGATTGATTTTACTTTACATTTTTTATTATTTTATATTGTAAGAGATAAATTGTAATGTACGAAGTGCAAAAATAAAATACCAAAAAAAAGAATAATTTTGAAATACTGAAACAAGTGTCGTTGATTTTATTCTGTGTATCGTGCGTGAAAGTGAAAGAAACTGAAGATGTTAAGGAAGTTACGATTATATCGATGACTACAGGCGAATACGTGTATCCATTGTGTTGTTTTGGTCAGATTTTTTTTTTTTTGTGAAACGGCTATATTTCGGGGATGAATTTGTCTGGTTAACACGAGGCTGCGCGTACGCATTTCTCACCGAGAACATCTCGTTCTCACTGGGCAAACGTTCTTTTGTCGATGAAACCTCCTATCAGACTGATAATTAAAATTTAGAGCTGGAAAAAATTACGTAAGAATGCACATAATGTAAAAAAATTAGGGAAATCACACACACATCTCGCTGATTTCAACGATTTTTGGATATGCTATTCAAAATGGACATGATTCTGTTTTAATTCTCGAAATATTTGCGAAAAATTGTCGAGACTATACATATAAATTCTGTCAATAAATGTGCGTTTGTGGCAACGTATGTGTCAGTAACTTAACTCTTACACTCGTCTCATGTTCCAATTTGTAACCCCAGAGATGAAAGGGAAGGAAGATCGATTTTTAATTTATTAATTTTTTGTCCAATCGTACCAATGATCAGAAACAATGTTTTCCTTAAAAACGAGTAAGTCGGTGTTGATTCGAGGTAGAAGTATTTTCAATCGGCGAGAATCCGAGTGAAATGTGTCTCTTAAGAATCCTCTTTGATAC